TTTTAGCTAAAAATTTACTCAATATTTCTGAGGAAGAACAGGAAATACACGACAGGGGCTGTTCGTTTCCTTTAGAGCTCAGGACATGCAGAGAGGAAGCCTGGTTGCGCTCCCGTCTGTCCTTTGTTTTGTGAAGCCAGATCAAGCAGAGCCGAGCCTGAGCGAGTGGAAGGCGCCTGAGGGGCGGTGCCGGCTCCGGGCTCTGAAGCCTGGCCTGGGGGCTGCCTGCTGCCCGCGCCTCTGCCCAGGAGGGTCGTGTGCTCCGTGCTGCTCCGCCGCGGCCTCTGGGCTTTGGCGGCGGGAGGAGCCAGCGGCCGTGAGAGGACGCGAACGGCCGGGCCGGGCTCTGCTGTTCCGTCTCCGCCCGTGGCCCCGGGAGGTGGCCGCGCTGGGCCTCCTTCCCCGTCTTCCAGTCCCTGCTGGGTTCTCCCCGGGAGTCAGGCGGCCGAAGGGGCTTCCCTTCCTCTGTGCCGCATGAAGCCATTCTTTTCCTCCCTCCGGACCAGCGGAAAATCATCGCGCCGCTGAGTTTGGCAGCGTGTTCAGGCAGCGCCCTCGTGAGTAACGGCCAAGGCCGCGGGCCAAGCAGTCACTCCAGCAGCTGCCCAGGACGGGCCGGGCGCGGGCGGCTTCCAGGCCGCGGGGCTGGGCTGCGGTTACAGGTGGAGCCGGGGGCTCGCAGGGAGAGCGGCCGGGTCAGCGCTGCCCGCGCACCTGACACTTGGCTTCCCCGCACCCCTGGGCCCGGGGGCACCCTGTGCAGGCGGCCAGCCTCCTCCCTGTGGGAGGACCGGGAGGCGGGGGCAAACCAGAAGGGAGGCTACACATAGGACTTCCGACTTGAGACGGTGCTACTCATTCTTTTTTTTTTTTAATAGAGGCATGTTTTTATTTATTTATTTATTTATCTATCTATCTATCTATTTATTTATTTACGCAAGCACTGGGTACAGTCAAACGCGGGAGGGCGAGAGAATTCACCAGAGCCAGAGCGGGGAGCAGAGCAGGCAGAAGGACCGAAGTACACTGCTGAGGGGAGCAGCGGGCGGCAGGAGAGGTCTGCGCGCCATGTGGGACCCTCCTCCTGTGGCCGGGGAGCAGCCGGGGATCGAACCAGCACTGCAGAGTCTGCGGGCAGCTTCGCAACCCAGCGCTTAACCGCTGCGCCACCGGGGAGGCCCGGTGCTCCTCATTCTTCAGCCCATTATTTGGAAGACTGTATTTTAGGACCATTTAGGGGAGGGGGCTTTAAAATCTAGGATGGAGAAACAGTGTGTGCTCTCCCAAATGGCTCACTCTGACAGTTCAGTCATTGCAGCTGCTCAGGCGACTCCCCCACCCTCACCTCAGCCTCCTGTCACAGAGGGAGGCGGCCTGGCGGCCTTTGGTGGGGAGTAAAGGGCTGTGATCACAGTGGCCAGAAGAGCCCGCTGCAGGTGGCCCCTGTGCCTCAGTGTCTCCTGGGTAGCTGTGCGCCACAGCTGCAGGGCAGGTCAGCACAACCCCTGTGTTTCTGGGGCTTTCTAAGCCCAAAACCAAGTGAATGCCGAAGTCCCTTAGCCGCACGCCCTTCCTCTCGGAGGTTAGCATCCCTCCAGGTCCTGGGGTCAGCCACCTCTGAGCATCTCCCGAGGCGGGACCGCAGAGCATGTGTCCAAGTTGGATGTGTTGAGACAGGAGTAAACTGAGGCTGTTCTGGGCAACTTGGGACATATTGTCACCCCATGGACACAGAACACTGCTCTCAACAGTCCCCTTGGAATTTTCAAGAAAACTCCTAACCGCTGAAATGCGCCCTAACTACAGCAAACACTGCGCTGATATTTGGTTGGGAATGGCACGCGTCCAGAAGAGTCCTGAGGCACCTTTAAAGCATCCCAAGGCAGTTGCAGTGGAAAGATTATAATTTCAGTCTAAATTGAGAAGGGACTCTGAAAACACCAGACCCTTCGGTTGCAAAATTCCAGCTGAAACAAGACCCCCTCAGGGATGGATGTTTGTGGAGGACGCGGCCACAGGCCAGGGGAGTGTGAGGGGTTTCTAGGTAGTTCCCACGGTGTTTCACAGAAGAGCTGGATTAGATACTGACCGTGTAAGCAAAGTGGTCTACAGATGACCCGCCCCCCATTTTTAATAGCAATTTGTGAGGCGCAGCCCAGCAGCGCCACTCCTAGAGGCGGGGTCAGTGCCCAGCACAGAGAGGAGAGCAGGCTGCTGGGCCAGACCCTGTCCCAACCGTCAGGATAAATGAGACATGTGATGGATTTTAAAAAATGGGTGTGATAAATGGTTTTAAAAATTGGTAGCTGTTAAGATTTTGCCGCAGAGAAAATCTAGATCTCATAAGGCTACAAGACCCAGTCGACCAGGAGGATGAGGGCAAGGCCCAGGAGCCTCCTGGCCGCCTCACAAGGGCTGAGGAAGCGGCGGCCCGGCCCAGCGGGTGCCCAGGGACAGCCCGAGGCCTCCCGGTCCAGGGACAGACGCCGCGCTGGCCGAGCGCCGCTGTGTCCGGGCAGGGAGGACGTGGCCGCAGGGAACGGGACATCCTGGGGCTGGGCCTCCCCGGCCCCGGCCTCCTTCCCAACCAGCAGGTCCCCCAGCCATGGAGACGTTTGCACAGCAGCCCCCTCCTCGCTCACTGGATTTGATCTGGGAGTCAAACGGGGGGTCCTTGGGCTCCAGCCGTGTGTGAGGAAGAAGAGGCAGATGCCACGCGAGCCTGGGGGCACGGAGGGCACCTTCAGAGGCAGCCGGGAGGAGCAGGCGGAGGAGCAGTGCGGCAGCGCCTGGCAAGCCCTTTCCTGAGGCAGCTGAGCACCCGGCGCTGTCCGGACAGGTGGGCTCAGGGCGCTCAACGAACTAGTCCAGGGCCCTGCCGCAGGCCACGTGCCAGCTTCCCCTCGCCACCCGTGTGCCCAGAGCGCCGCACGAGCCCTCCGGAGGCGGCACCAGGATAAACACGACAGCGCAGGGTGTGAACCTTTCTGGGTGGAGACCCCGGAGCACCTCATGAAAGCGCGGGCCCTCGCCCAGAAAACCACACACCCCAAAACCCAACATTGCCTACTCTTTGTGCTCCCAACCTGGGGGAGCCTGAGTGGAGACCCAGGAGGCCCCAAGCAGGGAAGGCCGGCCCGCGGGTGGGATGGGGTCAGCGCTGCTCACCGCCCCAAGGGGCACTGAGAACGTGGCGAGGAGCGCGGTGGCCGGGCGGGCCAGGAACCTGCATCACTGGGGACAAGTCACAAGGTCTGACACAACCTGATTTTTTTTTTTTTAATCACGGTCACAAACTGCAGCAGAGTTATTCCGTTTTTCCAGCTGAGAAATCGGTCACAAAGGACACAAAGTGCCTGATGTCGCTCAGCTCAGCCTTGGCAGGGGTAAGGCCAAAGGGATGGCTTGGGGAGCCCTCCTCTGGGGCCCGGGAAGGGGGCAGCGAGGGGCTGGCTGTGCGGTGGCTCCTCTCCTCTCGGAGGCGCCTGCGCTTTCTTGGCCATGGCCTTGCTCAAGTGAACCCGCGGGGCTCCTGGGCGCTGGCTCTGGACCCGCCCACCCAGGCCCACGAACACGGCGGCTCCCACAGGCAGCAGTCAAGCAGGAAGGGCTCTCCCTGGCTCCTGTGGAGGGAGCTGGTCCTCGGCACCAAAGGCCTGTCCGTAGGAAACCACGAAGGAGCTTTATGTTCTTAAGGAGTATGGAGGAGGCTGGCAAGTGACTGAGGGGGGCGTCATTGGCACCCAGAGAGCGTCATCAGGGGATCTGGGTGTGCGGGGACACCCAGTTCGTGGCCCTGTAAGCAGAAAGGGTGACTGAACGGAAAAGGCTCACAGGCCGCCGCGGGCCTGGGGAGCGGGCAGCACGAGACAGGCCTGGAGCTAGAACCAGCCGAGCTGGCCGGGCCCTGGGGGCAGCAGCGCACGCACCTTCTCCCCGCGGGCTCCCTCCACGCGCCACCTCCTGGAGAGGCTTCCTTGGGGAAGGGGAGGCGGCTGGCGCCACAGCAAGGCAGTGATGGCATCGCAGCCCCACGAGCTCCGCAGGGAAGCTCAGGAGAGAGGCTGCTGGCTCTGGCGGCCTCCCGAGGCTGGCTCAGCTCTGGTGCGTTCTTGCTGGTGAGTGTGGGCACGTGACTGGGGCGACGGCCCCACTTCCTGTCCCCTCCACGCTCGTGCCCGCGGGACAGAGCTGACCCGCTGCCTCCCTTCCTGACTGGACGGAGCTGCTGCCCTACAACTCAGGTCGTGATCAGATGAGCACCGGGCCAGATGCTTGGTAACTGGCTGTTCCTGTTCAAGTGCCTTTTCGCAGGCCTGGAGGAGGCGCGTCTCCCCAGGTCCCACTCGGGTTGTGTCGCGACTCTGGCTTCTCGCTGCTCAGCCGCCTCTGCAGGCGAAGGAAGCGCTGGAAGGGCTGGAGGGCGCGGGGCTGGCTCAGGCCACCTCAGCTCTTCTCCAGGAGACTGGAACCTCCTTTCAATCCTTAGAAAGATGACGTCTTTATAGATGTTGTATTAAATCGCTTCCCTCAACTATGCTCTGATTACCCTTATGGTCCCTAAGGTTAGGGAATTTATACCAGCAAATTATGCCGAGCCCTGAGAAAATGACGGAAGATTTGAAAAGGAACACCCCGCCGACGGGGACAGAGCAAGGACAAGCAACCAGATCAGCAGGTGTGGAGCCGGCCACGCCAGGTCGGCACCTTCCTCGCCTGCCAGTGCAGCGCCAGCCTTGCTGCTGCTTTTCTCCCCGAGCGCCTGCATCCTGCTGCCAGTGACCTCATTAACTGGGTGGGCTCTCTGGTCAAAGAAATGCAGCAAGCTGTAATTCTTATGTATTCGTTCACGCAAATCTTCCCTCAAAATCATCTATTCGCTTGACTGAAAACAGGATTCGGACTGTTCTCCAGGAAATGAAACCTGGCAGTGATGAGAAAATAATCTGTAAAATAGCCTAATCATTTCCCCCTTAACACAGCATTTAAACACTTTAGCACAACATTTATTTTAAATTTTTATTATTTTTTTTTTTACTAAGGCACATGATGAATAGAAATACTGAGGTACAAAACGCAAGTTTCTGCGTAAGATTTTTAAAATCATCATTTTGGAAAATGAAGGTGAACATCATCTTCCAGAACATTCAGCTTTTAGCTTGTTTTTTCTTTTGGACCAGTTCAACCAGCAACTTGTATCTAGCGATACAGTCTTCCTGCAGGAAGAGAAAAAGAGACGTGAGATAATTACTCCACAAGTCAGCGTGATCGTCTTGGGGTGAGCCTGCTGGGCTCTTTGCTGGGCATGCCCCATGCTAAAGAGGAGGTGTCATGTCCATTCACTTGGCACAGAACCTGCCCGGCATTTCCTAGGTGAGTCCTGCTGATGGCGGGCAGATGAGGCCAGCCAGGGGCAGCCCAGGGGCAGAACGGCGCGATGGGGGCGGGGCTGGTCCAGCCATTTATCCTTGTCACGATTACTACTACGACATTCAACTTGCTAACTGCAGTTATTATGCTAACATTTCACTATTTCATCACAGCATGTCACTTCAGAGAAACCAAAAAAACTTGAGGCCGGGTATTAACATAATTCTCATTGGGATTTGTCTCTTCCCAAGGGTCCGCTGGAAGGTCCCTCGGGTGGGTGCATCGGTGCAGCCCCCCAGGGCCTGGTGGGAATGAGACAGAAGCCTCCCTCCTGCTTGGGAAGGCTCAGAGCTCCCTGCCCAGGTCCCAGCTGCCTGCAGCTCGCACCCTTGCGGGAGGGGACTCATGACTGGAGCGGAGGTTTCTCAGGTTTCTTCAGGTGCTTTCCAGAATCCATTTCTGATTCTGTTCAAAAAATACTTGCTGCAATGGCCCTGTCAGCCTCCTGTAACGCACGGTGTGGTGCAGACTGGTTTCCACTCTGCAGCAGATGATTGGCAGCTGCCTTGGGCAGAGACTGTTCATTCTCTTCCCAGATTGCAGCTGTGGTGGATGAGTCTCTTCTTACCACTGCCTTTCTAGTATCCTGGAAGACTACCTGCCTGCAGTCTAAAATACCAGCCTGGCCTTAATGGCTCTGCTGCCACTGGTGCCCACTGCTGGACCCCAGAGGCAGCCAGTACCGCACCTGACCCAGCAGACAGGGGCTCTGTGCTCTGGGAAACAAGCCTGTCATGAATCCAGCCTGGCATCTAGCTCAGCAAAGACTCCTCCGTGAGGCCCAGGACTCCCCATGGCTCCCATCCACTCACAGGGTGCCGTTCCACAGCAGGTGCCCCTCCTGGACCTCATTCTAAACTCAAGGCTCAGCGGGAACACCTGCAGGACAATACACGTGCTGCCCGGTTCTGGTGGAAGCAGGAAGGTTTCTGAACCCCAAGGCAATGAGTTTTGAGTGTTCTTTCTTAGGAATTCACAGTTCCAGCTCCTTCATTTTAAGCCAGTGTCAATTCATCACACATGAAATGCCTGTGTCCTGACAGATGCTAGAGAAATTCAGGGAAAATAATTACGTTTGGCAAACCAGTTGGAGAGACTTGGAGAATCTGTGATTCTCCAATAGATCAACTGTTAATAGTTTATTTTTCTCCCCGGGAATTCTCAGCTTCATCATTTTAAAGTAGGTGATAGATAACCAGGCCTGAACACACAGGGACATTCATGGCCACAAGCTAGATTTTCCAACATAGAATTTCAATTAAAAAAAATGTAAATGAACATCAATGTGCCCAGAGGCTACAGAGTAGTAGGCACAGAAGGCAGAAGAGATTGGTTCTTCTGATTTCTCAGCCATCCTGGTGCCTCAGCCTAAGAGGAGAGCTTCAAGGAATGAAGCCCGGGAGAGTGTGTGTCAAGAAAGGGCCACGTTGCACAGCACACACTGCAGCGCCACAGCCCCACACCGTCAGAGCAGGAGGCGAAGACCCGGGTCGGGGGTGGTTCCTACAGGGACACTCCGCCAACCCTCCTATCTGAGTCTTTTATTTGAGTTATCTGCAGATGTATTTAAGCAGATACTGAGAGCTGTAAACAGGGAAAAGGTAATTATAAACAGCCAAGGTTACAGAGGATGAGCTGAATCCTAAGTGTCACTCTGATCCCGCCCCCACTCGCAGAGATGGTGGCCAGGGAGCGAGGCGCTGCTGCTGAGCCCGCGCAGTCTACCTGATCACGGCGCCCACCACCACACACAGCCCTTGTCAGAGCGACTGCAACGCTACAGGTTGTGATTTTATGAGAAATCTGCTCACACCGGTTAAAGGGAGCTGCCACCACAGGTGGAGAAAATGCTGCGTGGTCCTTGTGCTTCTCAAATCGCAGTGCCCGTGGAGGAAATGCTCGTAGGCTGGCAGGGTTGTTGTGGGTGAAATGTATTGTCTAAGTATGGAATTTTCTCTGAGAAAAACGGAACTGGTCTGAATGATTAAACTGAGAATCTTGAGCTCATTTACATACACTAATACATCACGCACAGATTCACATGCTATTGGGAGAAATACACGAGAATATAAATGGCAAATAAGTGATCACGGAGACAGTTGTAGGCAGAAAGAATAAAACCAAAGAAAAATTAGGTAGACATGGCCGCAGCCCCCTCAATGGCATTTTCAAACAAATGTGGAGGCCTCTTACTTTCCCTGCTCACCCACCTTACTCTTAGACGGGACACATTTGGCTATTTTGTCCCAGCGGTCAGAGGATCCTTTCGGGTGCTGCTGTAATGCTAATTCCAGAAGTTTCTGTTGACTCTGAGTCCATGGTTCCTCCACAGCACGAGTGCTCTCTCTCTTCTGGCTTTCCTCGTCGCTGGATTCATTTTGCTCTGACATGTCAAAGTCTTTCTGCCTCTTTCCTCGGAACTTTTCTTCTGGCTCCGCCTTTGTCGTGACATCAGGCGGCCTGGCTGGCTTCCGCCGCCGAGGCTGGCTTTCTGCGACCGCGGCCTGCTGCTCCTGAGCGTCCTCTCCCTGCCCGTCCCCGACGTCCTCCACGGGCTGCTCCGCGTCCTCTCGCTGGGTGATGATGTCGTCTGGCAAGGCCACGGTGGTCTTGGCGGACCTGGAGTTCTGGGCTGTTGCTTTGAGCTCAGAGAGTCTAACCATTCCTGCGAGGAAGAGCAGTCACACAGGTGAAAGGGCAAGTGGCTCGGGGACAAGAGCAGCAGCTGCTCCAACGCAGGGATCGCTGCCACAACGTTACGGGTGAGGAAAATCAATCTCAGAAAGCAGCAGAGGTGGGACTGGACCCAGACCCTGTCTCTGCTCTTCCCAGCACTCGGAGGAGAGGTGGGCATACGTGGCATCAGGCTGTGAGCAGAGAATGCAAAGACCTTTTTGAGAAGGAATAAGCTGCTACTTTTTAGGTAAGAAAGGCTGTTCTTCATACTCTGAAGTTTTTATTAATTCCATGAGCAAAATTGAAATCTGTCAAATCTTAGGCTGTGCTCACCATTGGGGGGTGAGACACTCGGCACGGGGATGCACTCTCTGCTCAAAGCTGCTTCTGTTGCCACCGTGATTCCTCCTCTGACAATAAAGGGCAAATTCCTCAGTCATGGGTGTCATCTCAGAGACAGCCTGTGTGTTTAACTGCACATCTTTTCTCTCTTTTTAAAGATTTATTTATGCATACCAGAGCTGGGGTACAGGCCAGAGGTGTGGGGGGTGAGAGGATTCACCAGAGACCGAGATGGGAGCAGAACAGGCAGAATAACTGAAATACACTGCTGAGGGGAGCAGCGGGCGAGTCAGGAGAGGTCTGCTGCGCCATGTGAGTCACCTCCCTGACTGGGGATCAAAGTCGTGCTGCAGTGGCTGCAGATAGCTTCATAGTGCTGTGCTTAACCCCTCCCCACCAGGGAGGTCCCCACATCTGTTCTCTTCATGACACTTTCAACCCCTCTGCCAGTGCTCTAGTAAGATCCATGTCTGTTTGCCACTTACACCAAGAACACGTTTTTAGGGGGAATGTCTTGGAGGTAGGTTTCTTTCATTGAGAGGCTCATTGCCTATCTCTGCCTCTAGGCCCAGACAAATCTTTTTATTGGTAGCAAAAGGAATCTGGAAATGTCCTTTTTCCTAAAGAGTGTAGACTCCTTCCTGGGGATGGCTTTTGAGATCTCAGGGCTAGCGGCTTCATAATTCGCTCACCTGCAGTACTTTCCTTGGGGCCCATATTTGAGTTATGTTGGAAAGTTTAGGAGGAAAATTCTTACATCGTGGTTCCAAGTAAAGAGTATGGAGCTGCTAATAAAATACAAGTTATTCCTGGAGGAAAGAGATTTTGAGAAACATAGAAAGCTGCTTGTTGTCTATTCTGAATGACTCTTGTCTGTGGATGTGACGGCAGACAGGTGGAGAACCACACAGAGCATTTATGTGGTGCAGACTGGCGTTCTCTTGTGGGTCAGGCCCTCCCCGCCCATATAAGAAAAGCATAAGGTTTTTATAGCTCTGTCAACTTGAGAAATATATCAACACTCACAGTATGGGTAGGGCTGACTGGTTTGCCAGTGCCTGTAATGTGATCCCTATTGGAGATGTGACCAGTAGAGCTCATTGGGCAAAACTATTAAATCAACATATTTATTTATTTATTTATTTATTTTAAAATAATAAATTTTATTGTTATATTCCCCATACAATTGCAGCCCCCCACATTCTGACCCCAATCCCTCCCCTCCCGCCCCCCCTAAAAGTGTCTCTGGTTCATAGTTTTTTGTTGTAAATCAACATATTTAAAGAAGTTATTATAAAAAGGGATGTATTTGGAGAAACCATGCTAGGTGGTATGAAGTGGATGCTAACTCACCAGGGGAGCAGGTAACTGAATCCTTCAGTTGCTTCGCTTTGGTTGTCACCTGTTTCAAAATACAACAGCAAAAACCCTTTATTTTCACAAATCTGTTGTAGGTCACGTAAAGGTCTGTGTGAATGAACAGGGTTCATTAAATCTTAAGCCTGGAAGGACCCTCAGTCATCAGTTCAATTCATAAAATTTAAACAAGCAAACTGAAGCCCAAAGAGATTAAATGACTTGCCCCAAAATATCCATCTAACAGGCAGAGTCAGAACAAGAACTTGAATCTTCTGGTTACTTCTAGTTCACTGATAGGTCAATTATACTAGGCAAACTCAATATAGAATGTTTCAAAATCACTGTATAAAGAGGTCATGACTTTGGAGTAGAATTTCCTGAAAGAGATTATTTTTTACTTGCTGGAGACTGTTATACTAGCAAATATAAACAGTTAGCTAATTTATATTTAAGTCAATCATGCTCCAATATAAAAGTCTTTGTCTTGTCGACAGAAACCCTAAAAGCATATAGATGGACACCAGTGGCAGAATCTCTTGGTGGAAGAGGGCAGATACCCCGAGAATCCTGAGACAATTACATACACAGTGTGGCTCTACAGATGTAATTTTGTTTGGTAGCAATTATTTCTTTTTTTCTATATATTGTATTCTGTGTAACATTCCGTAACTGGCTTTCTTCATTTAACAATGTCTTCTAGATCTATATACAGATTTCCCTTTCTAAAACTGAAATGGAATTTGGAGCGGCATATACACATTTTAAATGCATAACTCAAAAAAGACCCACGTAACCAACAGTATAATCAATTATTGAAAGTTCCTTTGTTTCCCCTAAGTTGGTCTCTATGCTGTCATAAACAACCATTCTATTATATATTTCACTATTTTAAAATATGGTGTCAAAATTTGAAAAATTTTATGGGCAGTGAGTTGCCCTAGTGCACTTAAAAAAGAAGCTATCCATTCTTCCTTACTTCAAACACTAACTTTATTAAAATTGCATTTGTTGTATACAAGGACTATTTTAAAACTTTATAGATTCTATCATATTATTCCACACATTCTTGAACCAATATTTCACTGCTTTAATGAATTTTGAAAGTAAAACCTGACAAAATATGGTCAACTCAAAATTAGGGAGATTTGGTATTCTTAGTTCTATCTCTTACTAGCTGGGTGATAAACATTCTTCAATTTTAGTTCCCCTTTTTTTCTCTCTCCAGATGGCTTTGATTTCTATTTTGCGGAAAAATTTTAAGTTATTTAACATGAGCTTCTTTGACTTCCCAACTCCAAATCTGATTACATCACTATAAATCCTTCGCCTTTATCCCATTTCAAAGAACTTGTCTTCCTTTCTCATTCTGAATCCTCCCAGAACTATGCGCCATTAATTTCCTTTGTTTTCAACTTCTCCTGGTCCATTAGATACATTTCATAAACCTTCAAACTTAGCTCAAGCATTCTCTACTTTAAAAGATGATCTTCCATTCCACTTGGCTTACATGATATTATTTGCAAATTTTCCTCCTTTCTTTCAATCTTACTTCACTGGACCCTCCTATACGGTCCTGCCTCTTGTTCCCCAATCTAACATTCAACATTTTGTCTTTGCTATTCATGTATTCTTTCCATTTCCTTTGATGGTTTCCTATCATCTGTTCAATAATACTTTAGAAAAGAAATGTTTAGTCTATATTTCTGGCCTTAACCTCTATCTTGGAATGCCAGTTTCATGGAAATTGACCATGTAACAAAAATGGGCCATCATATTGCAAACAAACTTTATCTGTGTAATAATGAGCTATTTAGAACATTGTTCTAAATAAGGTGTGTATGTGCATATAATTTTCCTCAGAGCAACCATCATCATGGCTTACTTTATTTTATTTTATTTTATTTATTTATTTTTTTTTATAGAGGCATGCTTTATTTATTTGTTTGCTGGTTTGTTTGTTTGTTTTGTTTATACATGCACTGGGTACAGTCAGAAGCGCGGGAGGGTGAGGGAATTCACCAGAGCCAGAGCGGGGAGCAGAGCAGGCAGAAGGACCGAAGTACACTGCTGAGGGGAGCAGCGGGCGGCAGGAGAGGTCTGCGCGCCATGTGGGACCCTCCTCCGGTGGCTGGGGAGCAGCCGGGGATCGAACCGGCGCCGCAGAGGCCGCGGGCAGCTTCGCAACCCAGCGCTCAACCGCTGCGCCACCGGGGAGGCCCATCATCATGGCTTACTTTAGAATATTATCACTTCAAAAAGAAATTGTCCATTTTAGCTATTATCCTCTATGTGCTCCATCCCATCCCACTCCACAACACTAAGCAACTGTTAATCTACTTTTTGACTCTATAGATAGATTTCCCCTGTTCTGGACTTCATATGAATGAAATCAGATAATATATGGATTTTTGTGGCCAGTTTCTTTCATTCTTTTTTAAGATTTATTTATGCATACAAGAACTGGGGTGCAGGTCAGAGGTGTGGGGGGATGAGAGGATGGATTCACCAGAGACAGAGTGGGGAACAGAACAGGTGGATTGACTGAAATACACTGCAGAGGGGAGCAGCAGGAGAGCCAGAAGAGGTCTGCTGTGTTATGTGGGTAGCTCCCAGGCTGGGGATCAAACTCATGCTGCAGTGGCTGCGGACTGTGTCATAGGTTGCATCTTAACCCCTTGCGCCACCAGGGAGGCCCTAGTTTCTTTCAATTGGGTTAACATTTTCCAGATTCATTCAAGGTGTAGTATATATCAGTACTTCATTCCTTCTTATTGCAAAATAATACTCCAGTATATGGGCAATAGTGCATTTTGATGACAGAAATTTATGATATTTACTGTTTTTTGGCTATTATGAATAATACTGCTATAAATATTTGTGTACAAGGTTTTGTGTGGCATATATTTTTCATTTATCTTGGGCGTATATACTTGGGAGTGGAATGCTAAGTCATATCATAACTTTAACTACCACATTATTGTCTGTGTATATATGCCACATATTCTTTATTCATTCATCTATCAATGGGCACTTAAGTTTTTTCATATTTTGGCAACTATGAGTACAGCTGCAGTGAATATACGGGTGCATATATCTTTTCAAATTAGTGTTTTCCTATTCTTTGGATAAATAACCAGAAGCTGATTTGCTGGATCATATGGTTCTATTTTCCAGTTGTTGAGGAACCTAGTGGCTGCACCAACTTACACTCCCACCAATAGTACACAAGCGTTCCTTTTTCTCTACATCTTCACCAACACTTACTGCTTCTTTTCTTTATGATAACAGCCATTCCAGCAGGTGTGAGATGCATTATAGTTTCGATTTATAGTTCCCTAGTTATAAGCAATGAAGAACATCTTTTCATGTCACTATTGGCATGTCATTTTTTGTAAATGCCTATTTAGATCATCTACCCATTTTTTGATCAGGTTGTTTTGTTTTTTTGTTATTGCCATTGAGATTTACGAGTTGTTTATTTTAGATATTAACATCTTTGCAAATTCTCCCATTTAGTAGGCTGCCTTTTCCTCTTAATGATGGTTTCTTTCACTGTGGAGTCTTTTTATTTTTTTAAGATTTATTTATGCGTATAAGAGCTGGGGTCTAGGCCAGAAGTGTATGGGGTGAGGCGAGTCACCAGAGACAGAGTGGGGAGCGGAACAGGCAGATGGACTGAAATACAGTGCTGAGGGGAGCAGTGGGTATGATAGGAGAGGTCTGCTGCGCCATGGGGTCAGCTCCCTGGCAGGGGATTGAACTCCTGCTGCAGTGGCTGGCGATAGCTTGATAATGCTGTGTCTTTAACCCCTGCGCCACCAGGGAGGCCCTAGATGGTTATTATATTTAAGTATATTCCTTGTATACCCGTTTAATTGAATTTTTAAAAACCATAAATGGATACTGGATCTTATCAAATGCTTTCTCTGCATTTATTGCAATGATCATCATGTTTTTATTTTATTTGTTGATCTGATGTTTCACATTGATGGATCTGCATATGCTGAACCATCTTTGCATCCCTGGAATAAATCCCACTTGGTCATGGTGGATGATCTTCTTAATGTATTGCTAAATTTTGGTCTGCTAATATTTCACATCTATGTTTATCAGATATTTGCCTGTAATTTTCTTTAGTGTCATGTCCTTGTCTGGTTTTGGTATCATGGTAGTGCTAGCTTTGTAAAATGAGTTGGGAAGCAGTTCCTCCTCTTCAGATTTTTGGAAGTTTGAAAAATATGGATATAGATCTTAGAATGTTTGCTAAAATTCACAAGTGAAATCATCTATTCCTGGTCTGTTCAAATTTTCTGTTTCTTCATGATTCAGTCTTGGGAGATTGCACAACTCAAGAAATTTATCTGTTTCTTCTAATTTGTTGGCATATGCTCACAGTAGTCCTTTTATGATTCTCTGTCTTTCCGTGGTATTCACTGTAACTTCTCTTTCAATCTGACTTTGAGTCTTAATGACTCTAGCTAAAGGTTTCTTAGGTTTTGTTGTCCGCCCACCACTGCAAAAAAAACAAACAAACCAAAAAAACCCAAAAAAACAAAAACTAGCTCTTAGTTATATTGCTCTTTTGTGTTTTTTTTTTTTTTTCCTATTTTATTTATCTTTGCTCTGATTTTTATGATTTACTTCTTTTTACTGACCGGGGGCACTTTTTTTTTTCTAGTCTTTACATGCAAAGTAGATTGATATTTGAGCTACCCCTGTTTTACTGTAACTTCCCTTTTAGTACTGCTTTTTCTGCAACCCAAGAGTCTGGTATGTAGGTTTTTGTTTTTTTTTTTTTTTTTTCTAGTTGTCTCCAGATACTTTATTGATTTCTTCAGTACCATGCATTTAATCTCCACATATTTGTAGTTTTCCCAGATTTGTTCTTGTGGTTGATTCTTTTTTAAAGATTTATTAATTTATGCATACAAGAACTGGGGTACAGGCCAGAGGTATGGGGAATAAGAGTATTCACCAGAGACAAAGTGGGGAACAGAACAGGAGGACTGACTGAAATACACTGCTGAGGGGAGCAGCGGGCGA